GTGTGTACTATATTTTAAATCTTCATAGCCGGAAAGGTTTTTAAGCGGGTGCATCAATTAAAGTGGAGGAGGAGGGGGTGAGGGTGGTTTAGGGTCCTGTCAGAGAATGAGTCACTGCATCAACCTCCTGACGCTGTTTGACCAAGTCTTCCTCATTAGAATAAATTTTACCATCATCTCAAACTCTTAACTTCAAATAAAACAGCCATGTTGAAAGTGTGACCCCATCTACATTTGCTGATCCGATCTTGGTATCACTGCATTCACGTTACCATGAAAAGAAATTGCTATTTAAAAATCTGTTTAAATAAATAAATACATTACAACATTTAGAGAGGCATTTATTTATGATTTATTTCCTGCTCTGAAAAGGGGGGCTAACAAAGGATTTACAGTACATTAATTTTTGTCTTGCTGAAATGTAGGTCATTGCAAAAGCAACATGTGAATCCATTGTGGAAATTGACTGTGCCCTTTTGGAGCCCCCAAAAGATGAATCTGGAATGGAAGTGAAGGTACATCTGGGTTCTGGTGTGTTTGGTTGCTGCAACAAGATGTTTTACAGGGGCAATCCTGTTGCAGTTAAAACATTTTATTCTGCTACAGCAGAGGAGGTCAAACAGGAGGCAAGAGTCATGTCAAAGTTCAAACATGCAAATTTTCCTCTTCTTATTGGGATGTGTACTCTTTCAAAGCCTTACCGTCTAGTGTCGTCCTTTTACCATGTTTTGGACAAGCCTTACACATTGTCTTTGGCACTGAAGAGCAGAAGTTTGAACCTTTCACAGGTTATTTGGCTGACCTTGATCAATCAGTTGGCTCAGGCAATATCCTATTTACATAAACAAGGATTTCTTCACAGAGATATCAAAGCAGATAATGTCCTTATCTCACATGTAAACAATGAGTATCGTGCCATATTAATTGATTTTGGCAAATGTGTAGCTTTAACAGCAGTTGGTTCCCTTGTGAAACATTTCACTCCTGAAGAACAAAAACTTTACAAAAGTAAGCATGGTCACATTGCTCCTGAAATTGTCTGTGGGGCCAGTCCACCTTCACATGCCAGTGATATATTCTCTTTTGGAAGAGTGATCTGTGCAGTTGGTACATACCTCCAATGCCACTTCCTTTGTACTTTGGGGAAAAAGTGCATTCTTAGTGATCCTGAGTTAAGACCACAATTAAGTGAGATAATCGATGAACTAGAGGGGCGATTAAAATTGCATGTCAAGTGATTAATATATCATGTTTACTAACATACAATCCTGTTGAAACTGTTCACTGTTTCTTAGATTTTTTTTTTTTTTTTTTGGGGGGGGAGTGAGGAGTCTGTTCTTTTTCCTACCCAGACTTGTTCCCACAAGAGCACTGAAAGCTTTCTCGATGGCACATCGTAGGTTGGCAAATGATGAGATGGCACATCTTGTCAGTCAGTGCTTTTGTGGTACTGCAATTGTGTAGGTAAAATTGTTACCCTGTTTGATTTGAAGCTTTGGATTAAGTCAACAGATTAATAGATGTTTCTGTAAAATTAATACAGTATGTCAGTTTCATAGGGAAATTTTCATGAATAAATAGTGTGAATATATTAAATGAAATTTACAATAATCATGAAATAAAAATTTCACAATATACATATACAATTGTATTGTACATATACAAAAAAAAATAAGAAGAAAAGGACTAACTACAGAGAATAACCAAGTGCTAACCCCATTGTAGTAATGCTTGATACAGACAGTTATTTTTTGTTGCCTTTATAGAGTGCTGGAAACACAAACTATTATGTATCAATTATTCTTATTGTTTGTAAGTGACGCAGTAGTTATTACTTGGATATCCGGATATTGGTAATTGGATAAAACTTGGTTCACTCAGTTTTGATATTGCATTTACATTTACTTTTAGTAAATCTATAGTATAAATTGAGATTTTGGTGCTATCCTATAAAGCACAGATGAAGACACTTTGCAGTTACATCAGGACATGCATGATAAATATTTAGATCTTGTATCACTTTCTTCAAGAAATTTCTTTCTCAGGTGATCCTGTTGAAACTGTATGCTTCTGAATCTGAATGGTGAAAATTTGTAAGGGTCATCAAATGGCACATCTTGTAACTCAGTGCTTTCAAGTGACAGAAGTCTTTCTTCTACCCATTCTTTAATTATATACCAAGGTATTTGATTTGTAAAGTTATTTATTTAGTTTAATTGTATATGAGAGTTTCTTAGGAATTATTGTGACTTGATTTTTGAAGACATGATCTATATAACACATGATTTATATTGTAGACAATTTGTTCAGCCCAATCAAAATAATTTGTCAGTTTTGTGTGATAACAGCTAAAATAATAATAATTTCCACATGCAATATATGTTTGCAGTGTTTATGAAGACAATAAAATGTTATATCTGTGGTAGGCAGAGGCCTGCCACTTTTGTTTGTTCTATTAGTTTTTTTTAATAAGGAGTGGATTACATGAGCTGAGTTGACTGTTTTCTAAGATCACATTATATGGGCAGGCCAGCCTGACTCTTGTAATCAGCCTCTAAGTGGATGATTGACAGGCCTGTGGCCTGAATTGTTACTTCCCTCAGATTTCTAGCAAAGGTAAATAGATCAATCTCATTTACTTCCAATTTCATCTATATAAAATTTTATTCTGAATACAGTCAAACCCAGTCAATCAGCCACCCTTAGGGAACTGGCAAATGGCCACTCAGTAGGGGTTTTATTTTTGTTTGTTTGACATCAGTGCAAATTTATAGCAAATGAACAGCTTTGCTCAATTAGCAAATTAGAGTGTATTAAGTGCAAAGGTACTTATTTCTATTGCAAGTAAATATGGTTGAAAAATGCTGCAAACAAACTGTTTTGCATAATGTTTCCTTGTAATTGCATTAATAGTAAATATGTCACTTTTGCACCGAAGGCAAATGCTTGACAACTATGTGTTAAAGCTCCAGGTTTACCTTGGTAGCAAATGTAATGTAAATGTTAAGCAAATGTAATATTTACATCACATTTGCAGGCAGTTTTGTCAGGAACAAATACTTGAGTTTACCTTCAGTTTACAGCTGGTGCAAATTCAGTTCAAATTTAGAGCCCCAAATTTGCACCACATTTGCACACCTTGACAAACACTAGTAAATCCATTTTTTCGTCCAGTGGAGAACGTTGACTAATAGCCCTCTCTATATCATTGGCTCAGACTCTTCAGTGTAACAGATTTTGACGAAATACTTCTGTCTTCAGTGCTGAAGTTAACACTTGATAAACCGAATTACAAGGAAAAAGAAGTCCACCGACTTATACGTTAGACAAATTCTGGGCTCAGAGGGGCATTCTTTGTACGGTCTTCCCTTGCCAGATTTGTACGGGTCTGCATAAAATATATTCATATGCGTTATTGACAGAGCGTGAGGTCAAAATGGCTATATAGTGGCTGAGTTTTTTTTTTTGCGTTTTATGGACGGAGACGAGGTCACGGTCCATAAAAAAGAAAAAGAACGAGGCTAATATCCAGTAATCTTGACCATACCAGCTTGGTCAAGAGAGTTTATATTCTCTTGGCTTAATCATTAAAGGATTCATTGTATAGCAAAAGATTTCGCTTTGATAAGAATCAAGAATGGCCTGTTTATTTCGAGAGCCGATAGTGAAAGCCAACTGTGTTTGCAGTACAATAAACCCAAGAGGGTCGTTTATTTTTTTCTATGTATATGCAAACATTGTCCAAAAGTTACGAACTTTGTAAGTTTTCTTGCGTGGGATCAATACGGGGTATCCCGAGCGGGCGAGGGTGGGCCCATCATGCCCGCTCAGGTAGCCAATCAGAACACAGGATTCGCTTCATCTTGCCCACGTGCGCTGCTAGCTATTTGATAAAGTGACTAGTGAGCAAGATATCGACTGACCAATCATATGCTATCCCATTTCACGATCACAGGTCTTGACATGTTACCTTTTTTCCACGCAAGAGTCAAATTGAACCATTGAGCTACACCAATCAACACATGATGGTCAGTTGACGGTCTAATGAACCATTTTAATTTTTTTCCTTTAGCCCCTTATGACGGGTTCATCAGTTCCGCGAACCGAAATATTAGGAAAACGTATATTTTACAGTTGATCTCAAGTTTATATTTCATTCTTTGTCTTCACCTCTTCTCCCCGCCGTGAGGGGAGAAAATGAATAGATAAATAGATGAATGAAAAAAGAAAGCTCAACAGTTTCCACTTATAGTCATATGGTACATGAACTGATTACTGAGGTGGAGTAAAGCCATAGAGGGCTGGAAATGCAATACCCCAAGTTCAAAATTGAATAAATCAGGATAGTCATTCTTAAAAATGAACTCAAATGCTTCATCAGAATCAATCGACACTGAATAACATTGATGTGCAAAATTTCAATAACGCTACTAATAATAATAATTTTCTTTTGGATTAACATGTGACACAGCGAAATCATTCAAACTGCTCTAAAATGGTGCATCACTACTAAAGACATTAACATGAAAGATAACATCAACAATAGCATGCTAGTTCATCATCAATTGTAGACAATTTCTTTTCCAAAAAGTCTTAATGGTTACGTACCAATCGATTCCATCCTATTAAGCTTCCAGCCAAGCACTAGCCCACTTTGGGCTGGAAATGATTTTCTTCAACTCGATCGATAAACCGCTTTAAGGACCATACTTCGACTGCTGATATTTCTTATGTCTAGCAAGTAAAAAGACGCTGATTGATATCAGTGAGCCCATAATGTGACATGTATACTGGTCAGCGGTTTTTTTTGGTGAAACAGCTGTCACTTACATATCATTGTGGATGTCCGCCATAACAACAATGCACTGCAGGAGTCAAACGATTTCATTGGAGGCTTATTACATTTAGGACTAAATGTTATTACATTTAGGACTTTATTACATTTAGGACCAAATGTTATTACATTTAGGACTTTATTACATTTAGGACAGTTATTACATTTAGGACTTATTTAATTTAGTTTCGTTCATTGATGACTGAATTTGAGCGTTCATTGAGTGTTCACCTTGTCCTCTCTGGGACTTCAGTTTCAAAAAAATCGCAAGATATAGAATAAACATCAGAACGAAGGGAATATAAAAAAATGCAATAAAAAGTGCCATAAAGTATTTTGTCACCGACGAGGAATCGTCAAAAACACGCATCCATTGCCGCACACACTTGTACTCATGATCATATTCGACCAGCTTGAACGCGAGCAGATACGGGATGAATGTAGCCATGGCGATGATCCACGTGGCGAGAATAAAGAAGCGATACAATTTTGAACTGAAGAGCGGGGAACGGAGGGGAAATACCACAGCTACAAATCGATCCACTGCTATGAGCACAAGGCTCTGAATTGACACAGCAGAGGAGAGATCGGCTGAAAAAGGAGCGAGCTTACACAAAACCTCGCCAAGATGGCCTCTAATGGGCCAATCATCGTCATGTATCTCTACTACAGTTTTCGGGATCAAGAATATCGGGAACAGTAGGTCTGACATAGCCATGTTCACAATTAGATAGTTGATGGGTTTTCGCATGGTTTTTGTCTTGTAAACAATTATTCCAATAAAGGAATTTCCAACCACAGAAATAATAAATATTACGCAGTAAGCAATTGTGTGCCCAATCCTCAATGCTGTGGGATTATAGCAGTTCGACGGCTGAGTTGCATTCATTGTTGCGCTCAAGTTCGTGGACATTTCGTAGACGCGTTCTTCAGTCACCGTTAAAGTCAAGTATTATCTTATGGAAGTCACAAACACCTCTATTTGTATTACCGCTTGCTGTGGAAGTGATGTGAAAATTTGAATATTTCATTTTGATGATTCACACTGAAACCAATTATTTTAGGTCTTTATTTGGGTTTGTTGTCATAGATCACGAAATTTTGTTTGCATTTTCCAGTTAATAGCTGTTTTTAAAATTGCCGTCGGCAACTATGGTGGAGCCGGAAGTAGGACAAATCTAGAAGAAAGTTTCACAGTTTTCTACGTTATCACCCGCTAATTCGTTACCAGTCCACGGGACACTTTTAAGACAAAATAAAAGCGCTTTAGGGCCCGAAAAAACCGAGTTCTAAGTTTTTTGAAATTTTTCTTTTATGGGAATTGGTTTGTACACATAATAAGCTAAATATTTACGCCAAAAAAATTTCGTGTCATGGGCACTTTAACTCTAATTACCTAGAATTCTTTAACTCATTTCGGCAGGTGAAAAAAGAAATTGTAAAAGGGATGTTTGAATTTTTAAATTGTTTGGGTTTGTTGTCATGGATCATGTCTTAAAGTGCCTGTGACGCGAAATTTTTTTTTGCATTTTCCGGTTAATAGCTGTTTTTAAAGTTAGAAATAATCGACCTTAGCGCCTAGCGAGTTCTTCTTGACCAATTTTTTGTGCATTGAAAGTACGATTAGGTGGCCAAAAAGTACCGCCATTAAGCGCGCGGCCAAAACGATCATATTACATAGCTGTGACGTAGAAAACTGTGAAGACACGTCGGCAACTATGGTGGAGCCGGAAAGTAGGAGAAATCTAGAGGAAAGTATGACAGTTTTCTACGTTATCACCTGCTAATTCGTTACCAGTCCACGGGACACTTTTAAGAAAAAATAAAACCACTGAGTGATTATCACTCATGAAGCATGATGAAGCACTCTTTACTTTAAGTGTTTGGGGTTAGCCTGTCAAAAGCTGCGTTCTAGCAAAACTCTCAGTAATGAAAGTCAATTTCAGAACATCAGCATAATCTATCAGGAAGGGATTGCAGTTTTCCGCCGACAATGAATTCTCATTTAAGTTCGTGGTTAAATCGACGTCGTGCATGTGCGTAAAACAAGGATCGCCGTATTTTTTTTCAGTAAACGCCCTGGGCGCTTAATACATTTTTAGACCTTCAGAGTGAGCGCTTATTCGAGAAGGGCGCTTATTTGATATTTTTCATTTTCAGCAAGTATTTAGTTTATTTCGCCACAAAATGATAAATAATAACAATACGCGAAAATGTACCATAGGCAGTGAATTTCGAGATTGTAAGGAAATATTGAATAAGTTATAGAGGCTCTCGATCGGGTTAGAGGCTCTCGATTAGGCGGGGCAAATTTTAACCTTTAGTCTTAACAGTTAGGCCGCTATAAAACGGCCGACATAACTCCAAGCAGGGGGGTTAGGCGTGAAAAATAAATACGGAACTTGAGAGGAATTTAACAATTTAGCTTATGAGAGAAAAACCAGTCTGCATAGCTTTTTTTGATGTTATTTATTTCATCTTGCAGAAAATTTTCATTTTACAGTTGGGGCGTTTGAAGGAAACTAGCTTGCATGAGCAAACTGGACGGAAGGTACCAAGAATTGTGCTCACGGAAGCTTCTTCTTTAATCAATTACGCGTTGCCGCTACAACGTTTACAGTATTCCCTTTCTGATTAACTCCAACTCTAAAGCTTCTTCTTTAATTTATTACACGTTGCCGCTACAACGTTTACAGTATTCCCTTTCTGATTAACTCCAACTCTAAAGCTTTAATTTCACGTTTTTTACAGTTTAATTTAAACGCGTTAATTTAATTTATTACGTGGCCGCTGGCGTGTGTCTTAAGGAGATCCCACATTATCTCAACAACGTCTATTGTCACTTTGCCTGACCAGTTGAAAATACATACGGGCTGTCTTTTTTCGGGTGCCAAGTCAAAAATTTCAGAAGCAATATAGCGAGGCTCTTCTAAAAGGGATTACGAACAGTTTCAACAAGTCAGAAAGAGATGGCCAGAGTTGTAAAATGTGGAAAGTTTGCTGTCACCAAACAGTAAATCAGTTGATGGATGGGTTTCGCTGCACCAACTACTTCATAAGTGTAGTTATTAGAGAGCTTAAGCATCGACGGCAGACGCGGACGGCAGCCGCAAGTTAAAAGTTCTTATTCCTTACGGTCGATGAATTAGTGTCAAATCGCGCCAGATTTAGTTTTATTCTTTCTCCTGTTGCTGCCCGCGTCTCAAAAATTTCTCTGCTCAAATTCTCTATAAATAGGGATAAAGAAACGGCGGGCATGTTCAGCCACATCAATGCGCGGATAAATCCAAACAGCATGCAGAAGGCTGGGGAGAAAACGATAACTAAGCAGCTTCGCCTGTAGGAAAACAACCGAAGAGATTCTTGAGACCTTGACGATAATTACCACTGAAGATAAAACAGATGCAAGGATTTACAGCACAGTACGAGTTCGCCAGAAGAAAGGCAATAGTTACAAAGTATTGCATGCCACAAGATGACCATATAGCTATGTTTGATGAATAAAGGGACAGCAAGAGGTAGATGCTGAATGGCAACCAGCATACGGCGAACACCAAGACAATGGCAACGGACATATTAAGAACATTTCTTTCTTTCTTCAAACGCCGTTCTCTTGCGTTAGCTGATTGCTTCCCTGGAATCTTCTGCGATTTAATTTTTAAGGAAATGACAAAATAAAGTATGGCAATCAAAACCAAAGGGACATATCTGGTAACAACGATCAATCCCAGTATGTAGGTTTGCTGCGATAGGGACTCTCCAAATGTGTCATTCCACTGCCACCAACAAAACAGCCCTTCTGGATACTCGACAACTTTCAGGGCGATCAAATATGGGCAATGGACTGCCATGGCGACGATCCAAATGACGAGAATGAAGTACCGGCACTGCTTTGAACTGATCAGTGGGGAACGGAGAGGAAATACTACAGCTACAAATCGATCCACTGCGATCAACAACAGGCTCTGAATTGACACTAGAGTTGAGACATCTGTAGCGAAGGAACTCAGTTTACACACCGCTTGGCCAAGGGGACCGCCAACCAGCCAGTGGCCGGCCGTGTTTAATAGTACAAGAATTCGAGGAAAGTAGAAAATCGGGAACAACAGATCGGAGATTGCCATGTTTACAATCAAAATGTTGATTGGTGTTCTCAGAGTTTTCGTCCTATAGACAATTATTCCAATGAAGGTATTCGCAGCCAGCGACACAACAAATAGCAGACAGTAGGCGAAGGTTCCTCCAATTCTTGTCGCTGTGGGGTTGAAGCAGCTCGACATGGACTGTGTTCCATTCACCATTGCTGTCACGTTTGCAGACATTTTTCGATACCAAGAGATCAGGTTTTTCTTCAGCCAACAGCCTTGCGGTGGGTACCTAAACTCGACTGGATGAAAACACAGCCTATCCATCTTATATAGATCAAACTTTCACATGTTTAATTAATGAACATACCTAGGAAAATTCTAGAAAATCGACAGTCTTCACCTGAGACCTCTAACTAAGAAAAGTATGGTTGGAATCAGCTGTTGTCCGAAATTAAGCAAACGATATGCTTTTTCAAATATTGTCGGCAAAAGGGACAATTTTCTCAAGTTTATAAGCAGGAGCCCATCTTATATGAGTTTATATAATCATTATCAATATTGTTCCAATGGCTCCAGAAATAGCCCAGCCACAGATGTTTACTGATATAGAATAACGGTTGACAGCTGGTAGCGAAAAGATCTACAATCTTCTTTTCAATTCAGAATTTATTTTTAATTATGTTGCCATCGAAAGTTTAATCCAGCCTCGAACTTACTGATTAGTCTTGTTGCTTAGTAAACTTATTGGAGTATTAAAGAAAATTTTCACGAAGTCGTAACAAAAAGGAAGGGTACAGGACAATATAAGGCCGACTTCTTATGTGCGATAAAAAATGGTATGGCTTCATAAGTCTTCTTTTCAATTCAGAATTTATTTTTAATTATGTTGCCATCGAAAGTTTAATTAGCCTGAGCTTGTTGCTCAGTAGACTGGTTGGAGTTTTAAAGAAAACTTTCAGGAAGTTGTAATAAAAGGGAAGGAAACACCGGGACAAAGCCGATTTCCTATATGCGAGAAAAATGGTATGGTTTCATAAGTCACCAGGAGAACTTGTAATAATTTAACAAATTTACATGACAGAATTCATATGGCTTACGATGTAAATTTTTCCTTTAATCTTGTTTCTGTATTCGAGCAAAGATGATATCTCCGTTGCTTTAACCGACTTAAACGATCGCATACACTCATTAACCTTCTGTGCCTCGGCGAGGCCATCTATTCAAAATGTAAACATCGTTGAGCAACAAAATTCAGTCCCCGCGGTAAAACCAAAGTACAGGTGATATGACTATCAAAGAAGAACAAAAGGACAAAAGAGTAAAAAAGGATAAATATCGGTTTCGATGAACCGTATCCCTGAAGTTGTTTTAAGAAAAGGATAATTTTCCTTTCTTTAACCAAGCTTTGGCACTGAGTAGTTCTCGGGGGGCTACCTTTAGTCTCAATAAACAAAACAAAGCTGATTACTGACAAATACCTTTCATTTACTTTCTTTAGTCCAACTTCTTTTACTGAGTTGGATCTAGTTTTCCATGAGGAACAGATCCAAATGATTTTTCCCATAGTAAAAACTCCTTTCTTACTCGCTTATTAACTTTTTCCTGTCTTTATTTTGTATTTTGTTATTTTATAAAAGCTGTAAGCAAAGTTGAATTCGATTCTCTTTCCCTCAGTAACTGGATTTAAGTAGCTCGTTACCAGTGTTCCATTCATCGTTGCGATCACATTGCCGACATTCAGCCAACAGCTCTGAACGCTCTTTTTTTAAGTGAACGCAGTGATGATTTGCATAGATATTATTATTGTTCTAAATTGCATACGTTA